CTGATCTTGTCCCAGTAGTCGGGTGGTGCAAGGCGCAGACACATCTGCGGAGCGTATGTGATGATGGAGGTTCGTGTGGGAAAAGCGAGCAGCGGCCTCGGGGTCCATGGCGCGGTAGTCTTCAATCCGCGAGCGCAGGACCCCCTATCGTCAGAGTGAACAAGGCCACGAGCAGAAGCATTTTGCTCCCGTATCATGGACATCTTGATTGCTGGCAAGGCTGCGGCGGAACGAAGGGAGGTGGACCACGGGGCAGAGGGGATAGACGCGCTCGATATAGTCATGGATGATGACCATGAAAAGCTTCCTCGAGCAGAGTTCATCCGTGGCGAACGCGAATGTCGACAAAGACGCCGGTGATATCGACTGGCCGAAGGTGGATGTATGGTCCGGCGTCAGCACGACGCCAGCGTCGTCGTCAGTGTCTATCTTGTCGCTACTCGCACCGCTGTGCACTGAGGTTCGTGGTGGATAATGGGCTGATGTTCCGTCCATTGGCGGTCCAGCCGGAGAGTCAACCTCATACCTCCTCCGCTTTGGTCCACGAGGGCGCGTGGGAATGGCAAAGTTGCATTCGATTCCTAGCCTGGAACAGCCTATGCACCTCGTGCTGCCGTCGCCGCCGTCCTCCCCTGGGCCAAGGGGGAAAGTGCATCGCCTCCTGCGGGCGCGACAGGCATCGCAGGCTCGTGCGGCCAGTCGCCGGGGCTCCACGGGCGCGCTCGCTCGACTCGGAATCGAGGTCGAGGCCTGCGCTTCTTGATGAACATACACGACTGTTTGCAGGTCTGATAATGCGGGTGCCATACCCTCGTCTTGGGGCGGGCTGGGACTTGCAGATCCCAGGCGTACTACCTTAGTGGAGGGGAAGACCCAAGATGAGGACAGGGAAAATCGGCAACATGCCGGCAGTGGGAGGGAGCTGAGAGGGAGAATTACAATCTACCATGTACACACACACCTCCACGTTCCCCGCCTCAGCCCCTGGTTCGCCCGAACCTGGCGTGTTCGTGGGCTCATCTGTTCTGCGTTTAGCGCGTCTGACATGGGGTCTATTGTAATTCCACTATTCTGCCGCAGGGCGGTCAAGGAATAAATAAGGTCAAGTCTGTCCCTCAGACGAACGACTTGACAGAACAAGTACGAAATAAGTAAGCCTGATGAAGACATTCTATCAACAGGAGGGTTCCGTCAAACGTGACAATGTCGTTCCATGATCTGATACTGAGGAGGATGGTTATGGTGGTTTAGTGAGCTGGTGAGCTAGTTTACTAGTGAGATGGCTTGCGTGACTGTATAGCTACCCGTATGACTTGAAGGGCGCGAACAGGATGGAGAGCAGGATGATGGTTAAACGTATGGTGTTTCGAGATATTTGGCAACGTGGTGTCTTACAACGGCTTTTTGTTTTGTATTGCTAAGTGAGGCAGCTGTTGTCTTTTTTCGTGGGAGACTCTCACAAGGGAAGAAACTTTGATTCTTGGCGATGGCAGGAAATGGGCTTTTGGTGAACAGAGTTTCCATGTCACAACGAACCAAGATATACTCATTGATGAGATGAAGCAAGCCACTTTCACCACTAGGGCCTCATCGAGTACACTGTTGCGATAATTAGTTTTGATCTTTTTATTCGCCGCCAACTTGCAATTCTACATCACAGCTCAACACCACTCGCAGACCTTGGCCGTCAAGGGATTGTGCACACCTTAACTTTCTCTCTCTCTTTACTGATCGCTGCGAGACCCCCGAATAGCGTTTTAATCGCCGAACATGGTTGGAATAGCCGAGGTAGTAGGCGGATCGTTACGTTTAAGATCCCCAATGCTCAGGCGGAGATACTCTCCACTTCTTCCCCCGCCATGGCTCGAGCGCAACTCTCCGCGCCGGCCTCTCCGGGTGAGGTTTCAACCTGTGCCTGGAGTGCCTGGAGTGCCTGGAACAAGCTGGAGTCGAGCATACACTGCTCTTCACGAACCCTGGCTCCCCCCTCAACCTTTTTCAACTCTCCGTACCGGCCGCAAGCCATGTGGCCTAACCCCGATGAATCTCCGGTCTTTCTCCTTCGATTCTCCTTGATTCCCCACGGGCTGACACCCTAGACGAGCCAACCATCATCTCCCATGACTCGCCCGAATCGTATCGCAAGCACCAACCAAGCCCTTTTCAGCATGAGAAATAGGGTCAAACAGGCTTGGACGACTCAGACACACCCCGCCCGCCCATGGGGCCCCGTCCATGAGCCTCCACTCAGATCCCCAAGCAGCCCAAGGGACCCAGGAAGACCCACGTCCACGTTGGCGAGCGTTCCCCAGATGCAGAACCAGCCCCTTGGCTCAGGGCTACACCGGCCGGCCGGCTATCGGTCACCCGCTAATTGTGACAAGGCGACACCCAGCTCGGCCGGTCACGCAGCAAATGGCACCTTATGCAACGATGCCATCGTCTTGGGCCGCGACTACTTAAAGTCCCGGGACGCAGCCAGGTCCACGACGCAAGTTGGCTGGATTCCAGGCTCACCTCACTGTGCAGACAACTCCAACAACCGCTCACTCCCTTGGCGTGGTTCCCATCAGCCATCATGACCGACGCCATCATCTCA